ACAACCATGAAGATTTTATTAATAAAGTGCTCGACAAATTTTCAAAAAATCCGAGATTATGTTTTACCTAATTTTCGTTGTATTTCCTTATTTTTTTTAGTTATTTATATATTTTTTTTGTTTTTTTATATTAAAAAGGTTTTGTTAAAATATTTCTAAAAAAAATTAATAAACTGTACCTATTTCTACCTACAATTTATATTTCTCCCATCCTCTCTCTTATCTTCTCTAAAAGATTAACAAAACCTACAATAAAATATGTTTTATTTTTTTCCATAAAATCGGTGTGTCCTACAAAAAAAACTGAAGAGACCAATTTCATTCAGATGGCGAATTTCTACAAAAAAATATTAAAACGGGAAAAGTCAGTGGCCTACCTTTTTTTTTATTAAAAAAGGTGTGGCGTTCTCACACGAACGCATCTAGTGCAAGTAGAAATATTCGGATCACCCCAAAAAATGCACATTTATCCCTCCTCTTTTATTTGTACCAAAAAAAAAAAAAAATTCGGACCATTTGGGGCCGTGCCTGATTAAAAGACAACAGTGTCTGTTTTGTCCTGTTCCTTCAACCAAGCGACCAAACAAACATCTTTCTGGTAACTTCAATATTTACTACAAAAAGTAGATACATATTACGTATTAATAAGCAATACCAAATATAAATCCGAAGCCACAATGGCTTTATTATTTAATTCAGGGTATTGTGCCCTTGTATATGATCAGTTGCCTTTGTAATTCACCCTAAATTAAATGTTCATTTAGCTACACTCCAGGGTCAGTAGACGATGCAGCTACCAGTGACGCGGAAATAGAGGGACAAACAATATTAATATAAGAAATTAAATATTATTTAGAAAAACATCAATATAAATCTAAATTTTTAGAATAAGTGTGTACTTAAAAAAAAACAATGCGGCGGAAAGTTTAATTTAAAACGAAAGTAGTGTGAGGCGATATTGCGCTTGGTTAAGGTGGCTACACAAGAGTGCGACAAAAGTCTGTCCATTTTCATACAAATTGACGAATGAATAATGCCTAATAACTTCAGTTTGCTTTGACAAAATAAATAGATACCGAATTGGATGAAATAAATAGAAAATACCAAGTTATAGATAGAAATGTATCACCAGTGTAATCTCGAATTTCAAGGCGGTACTATAATATTAATAATAATAGCTTTGTAGTTACAGCAATCCAAAATAGTCTGGAAACTGTTTCTAATACTGTACTGGACACATCTAATATTAAATACAATATAATGCAAAAGGTTTAGGGCTCGATTGGGTTCGTTCACCAACCATCGACGCCAATGATTCTGCGACATACATCCGCATGCCCCTCGTCCTGCCTCAACCCCTCGTTGTACAAGTTCGGCTCGATTGGATCCTAATTTTAATCTTAATACGATTTATTTCAATCGCTAGGTGCAAGCTGCACCGTGCCCAGTGCATGTATATTCAAGGATTAGCGGCTTGTTTGGATTTTGGATTTCACCGAACGCTATATCGAGCAATTTGCATAACATCTTCATCAATAAGTATTAGAGAGACCTTTTAGATAAGCTTGTATAATTTTGTATTTTGTTAATTAAGGCCTAGAGGTAAGATAAATGTAAACTTGAATACTAAATATTATCGTTTTTAAATGTTGAACATACTAAACCAATAATTAAGGGAACTGATTTATATTTTTTAACGCAAGGATTTCGTAGCAGGAAATTAATTAATTTTGAACTTAATCTAGCTGACAAAACATGAAATCTTAATTAGTGCCGTGGTCTTAATAACTTAATAAGTTATACAAATGAGTAATACAAGGCATTTTAAATCAAAAACAGCACAGTAAAATCTTAAATTAACTGAACTGTTTGCATACTTATTGTTGATAATTGCAGAGCCTCAGATTTCCATATCTTTCTACGTAAACCCTAATTTTGAAGAAAGCTAGGTGTCGTATAGTGGAAAGGCACTTCAGCATAGATATGAGTTGACGTTCAATCGCTCCTATTGATGGTTCTACTAGATTCCCATTGTGGATTTTCGAACGTCGGTGCTCTTGAAACCGAGGAATTTCTGATTCTCTTATAATGTTCTTAAGATATCTGTTGTCAGAGGTGGTTAGGCTTTTGATATCAAATACTCTATACTGTTGGATGGTTTCTGTGTACTTCGAGCTGATTTCCCAGATTATTCGAAAGATCAGCAATTCGAAAGATCGGTGAAAATTTTGATAGCGCTTTTTTGGCGCTGTTTGGGAGGCTTAAGTAAAAGACTGAATGTCCCTAGACATAAACTGCTCTCTCTGATTGCTTTTTTAGCATTTTTGGACACTACAGGTAACTTCTTGGTGTGGTTGAAAACATAGGTGAAATTGGAAGCTCAAAGTTTGTCACACATTAGGTTGGTTTAAGTTGAATTAGGATTAGATAAGACAGGAAGGATTAGATGCATTTAAACAATTTTTTTTAATTTTTCGGAGAACCCCCTCGAAGTAACTTGAGATTCGTTTGAGGTCAAATTAGGAAATGTAATAAAGATTATCGAGATCTCAAACTGGACCATTCTTTTTTACATGTATTTAGGTATC